ATCACCAATCACCTCACCTCAAGGTAAGGTATGTGGTTTGTGTCACGATGAATCCTTGCTCCAGTTCATTGTTTGATCCACAATGGATCCTTGATCCAGTTCATTGTTTGAGCCACAATGGATCCTCGATACAATCAGAGCCTAATATTTCTCCTGGCAGCTTTCCAGGTTATCTTGAGTTATTTTTTATATTGATGCTCATTCCTGTGGCTTGCAGTATTCCATCTGAGTCAGGGGGCTTTTTAACTCTTGGGTATGTGATATATTCCATCACTGGAGCTTTGTTTTGGCAGAGCTACCACCTATCAAGCAGTAGCTTAACCAAAAAAAATTTCCAGTCACATTTGTCACTGTTGTAGAGTTAGCAGGTTCCTCTTTTAAATTTTTTGGGACAAGATTTCAAGGCTTTGATTTTGGATGTGTGTACATTGTCCGCCTGCTGCCGCTGCACCTAGTAAACTCTGCTTACATGTCTACTCATCATCCAGCCTTGTGGCTCCCACCCCGGGTTAAAGCTCCAAAATGAACCAGGCTCAAAATGATGCAGGTGCCAGCAGGAGAGGATGTGCTTATGTGAGAGAGAGAGAGAGAGCGTGAGAGAGTGAGAGAGAGAGAGAGCGTGAGAGAGAGAGAGAGAGAGAGAGAGAGAGAGAGAGAGAGAGAGAGAGAGAGAGAGAGAGAGAGAGAGAGAGAGAGAGAGAGAGAGAGAGAGTGAGAGAGAGAGAGAGAGAGAGAGAGAGAGAGAGAGAGAGAGAGAGAGAGAGAGAGAGAGAGAGAGAGAGAGAGAGAGAGAGAGAGAGAGAGAGAGAGAGAGAGAGAGAGAGAGAGAGAGAGAGAGAGAGAGAGAGAGAGAGAGTGAGTGTGAGAGAGAGAGAGTGTGAGTGTGAGTGTGAGAGTGTGAGTGAGGGGGGGGGGGGGGGCAAGCATGCATGTATGCATGCATTCAGTCATTCACAGTCTGAATGACTCTGCGACATTTCTGTATACAGTGAGGTTTGGCCCTCCAGTGTCATTCAGATTGATTTCCAGTTGTTCAGTTGATTCTTGGGAGTTCAATCCTCGGTGTAGTTCACATTTAAAGTGCATCTGGTGTGCTTGTGGACATTGTGTTCTGTTTCCATCTTATTTCAATGGAGAGGGCTCTAGGCAAGACCTTTTTCTTCTGGATATGCAAGATGTTTTTGGTCGTCCTCAGGTTGATCCCTTACCCTCAGCTTGGAACCAGCAGCTTTTTGTTGTATGTGGCCCCATTTCTAGACTGTGAGGCCTTGGCGCCGAGTGAGTTTCATCTAGACTGGTCTCACTGGTACGTCCTTCACCTGTTTTCTCTGGTTTGGGTGATTGTCCAGGTGTTATCCAAGTTGGAAACCTTTGTGTGTTGCTTTTATTTGGTGAGTTGCGGGAGGGGGTGATCCCATGTGGGCAGTTTCTGGCCCTCGTGCATTATCCTCACCCAGAGCCATCTCTGAAGAGCTGCCTATGCCAGAAAAGTTGCTACCAAACTTATCTACATAAACTGTACTTCCAGACTCTCTGCTAATCTTCACGTGTGAAACTTTTAGCGCTGCTGTCCCGCCATCAGTATGAGGGTGAAGGACATTTTAGTGTTTTATTTATCACTCTGAGGCTGTAGTATGAAGCTGTGAAGTGGGCCTTCCACTGGTGTCCATCCTTGTGTTGGTTCTCTTCTGTGTGTCTGTGGTCATGTTCATTTTGATGTGGTTGCTTTGGGGTGTCATTGCATGCCGAATGGCGTCGCCTCCTATTGGTCGACTTTGTTGGAGCCTCTCCTACTGGCTTTCTTGATTAACCCATCATCTGCACCCTTTACAGGATAGTACATGTAAGGTTGCATTCTTGTTGCTAATAGCTTCAGGTGGTTGTGTGGGAAAACTCCAGGTCCTTCAGGGTAGGCATTCACCAGTTTATTTAGTCCTGGTGATCATTTTCTAGGGTTGCAGACTCCTTCTTTCTTAGTGAAAAATGAACCTTTGGCTGTTTTCAAGAGTTCAGTTATGATTGAGATGTGGTTACTGCAGCCTGGGTTGTATCACACTCTGGGGGTTGCAGTGCATTGCTGTCCGAGAGTGACTGAAGCTTCTAAGAAGGTAGCTCTCTTTCTGCATCCTCAATCCTGAGTTTGAGGCTAGACAATACCAATCTTAATGAGTGGTTAAGTAAATCAATTGAATGTGTAACTCAGAGCCTGTTCTCCTGATTTGCCATTCTGTAAAAAATGCACTTGTTTATTCTAATCGAAATGATCTCTCCGAAGGACTCGGGCGGTTGGGTGGAAGGATCGCAGGTGGGGAATGGCTCTATAGTTAGCAGTTCGATGATTTCTGAGTTTGGTAAATTCCTCATTTTTGAGCATTTCTTGAGTGTGTGTTATGTTTCATGACTTTGTCATTGCTGTGCACAGTTTGTCTCAGTCGTGGGTTGATCTATGAACCTCACATTCTCCCTGCAGCTTTATTGGATGGTACTTTTCACCGGCGGGTAAATATTGTCACAGAAGCCTGGCATGTTGAATGTGGGCTCACAGCATCAACGACATAACCTGAGGAAACCTACTTAAGGGAGCTGTCCAGGAATTTTGGACTGAAAGTAATTAAATGCTTCTTCCTGAGCAGTCTGATGGTAGCTTCCCTTAGCTAATGGTGAATTGTCAGGCTTCTATGGGACTGTCTCTGTCCTGTGAAACAAGTACCATTACAAGGAGAGGGTCTCGGGAGTCCTTCTACTCCCCGAGCCCGCCCTGAGGCTTCCCTTCATGTTGTGTCTCTTGCAAAGGTGAGGAGCATGTGAAGATCAGAGATAAATCCACAGGTGATAGAAATTACAAATTATGACACACAGAAATGCTTTAAAAAACACAAACTACTTCCAAACAATCTTAGGCAACACTTAAATTGTGCCCAGCTTTAGATACTTTAATACCTGGCAAGCTTATTACCTCTCTCTCCACAATCAAGTTCTTGTCATATTTTTTGTCTTGAAATTGTGGATGGAGGTTGCTTAACAAATTTCTCTTTCAATGTATTCCACTTACTGACCACCTACAAGTGGAATGGTATACAGGGTATACCATTCCACTTCATACAGTGTATACCACATACTATATGGGGTATTACACACTATACAAACTTCCTTACATCACTATGAATCAAATGTTTATCCAACATCCACCGATGCCCTCTTGTCATATCTGCTTTCAATTGAAATAGGGTGTAGTTAGTCTGCAGTATTAATTACCCTCAGCATGTTGTATGACCACATTCCGTCTCTTGTTTACTCCTTGGTTAAGATTGAGTTGCCATAACCTGCCCTTATAGCTGAGTCCTCTCAGTTCTGGCACTGATCTTGTTTTAAATCTTTGATTTTGTACTTCATGTGGTGTGGGTTCAGTGCTGGTGCTGCATACTTGAGTATCGGTCTAACATAGGCATTGTTTATGGACTTAAAAGTGTCCATATTTAGATTTTTAAGTGACATTGTTATGGTTGCTAACTTCCCATATGCTGCTGATGTTATTCTGTTCACATGAGCTCTTGGTGTTAATGTTGGGATTAGAAAATCCATAGGAGCCGTGATGAGGAATTACACAATGTATATCATGTTACTGTGATTTCTCTGTGTAAACCATGGGCTTGCTCCTCTCTTTTAATCCCCTTCCTTCGTGAAAGTTATTAACTTGTCTATTGCTTCTGTACATTTCTGTGTTATGACTTTCACCATCTAATTTGATGATTTTCCTTCCAATTCAGTTTTTCACTAGAGATCTTCTAGGTAGGTTCTAATCCTCCTCTAAGTCATCTCTTCCGTAATCTCTAATCTCTTGCACTCTTTATCGTGTTTCCTCTGTCGACTCCATTTTCCAGTTGTTATTTTGTTGATCAAACATGCTAACACAGTGGTCACTGGCTCCTAGTGGCACCTAACATTTTAAGTGTGGAAAAGTTCAGTAGTTATTGAAGCAGTTGGGTGATTTCAGAGTGCGGCAAATCCCGAAATTCCAAATAATTCTTGCGAGTGCTGTTGCGTTTTGAGACTCGTAAATTTTTGTGGGCGGTTTACGTGTGTAGGGAGTTTATCCCCGATGATTGCGTGCTCCTCGCCCCCTTGAGAAGACAAGACAGAAGTACATTGGAACGGTACTTGCTACCATTGGGCAGAGATTATAACAGGAGCCTGGCATGTTTAATGTGGTAGCACAGTCAGTACAAAAAGCTGAGGGGAGTTACTGAGAATAGCACAGAAAAAGGTATTTCATTACACTGGTGTATTTTTACTGAAGTCTTTCTCATTAATGTAATAGTAAACAGTGTGAGAATATGAGTGAGAGTTTTTGTGAGTTGTTACAGTTCTGGAGAGACTGCACAAGGCATTCACACAGCATTTTCTCCTCCAGGCCCAAACCCACATCGAGTATATGCAGTAGGTATAAGCAACCTGGCATTCAACTTGGATTTGTGTTATGTATCTATCTGGAATGTTATATGATCACACACATTTTATAACAATTCAAAAATGTTCACATCCCATCTGAACCCTCTTGGTGTAAAAATAAGGCTGTAAGTCGGTATAGTTATGTCACTGTTATTGACGGTAAAGAATACATTTACAGTATAGGCAAGTGACTAGTTGAAAATTGGTAGAATAATTCTGCTTTATAATGTTTGTTATATATAGGTTGTACCTGCTTGATGGGGGTTCTGAGTGTTAATGTAACATAACATTAACATGTTAATGTAATGTTACTCCCCAAGCCTGGCTTGAGGTCAGGCTTGACTTGTGAGAACTTGGTCCAACAGGCTGTTGGACCAAGCTAGGAGTGGCCTGCAGCCTCTCATGTCCACCACCGCCCGGTTAATATACCTGACAATTAATACAAGATAACATAGCTAAATACCAACGTACTGTAAGTTCAAATATTTGGGAAGTCAGATGTTTTTAATGTTCTACACGTTAACTGTTATCTGAGGAATTTTTCTCTCTAGACGGAAGAACGTAAGAAGCAGTTAAAACGTGAGGGAAAAGACACACGAGTTGATGAAGATGACCCTGATAAGTTGAAGCGTGCCGTGTATGTTCAAACGATGAAACTCTTTGCCGATATGGAGAGAAAACGGCGGCAGCAAGAAACCCGCGACCAAGAGGAAAGAAAAAGAAAGAGAGACTTAGAGATAGAAGAGGAGGAACAGAAGAAAGCAGAAAAGGAATGGCAAAAGAATTTTGAGGTAAATTATTTATTTTACAGTGATGATGTGTTATGATAAATCTCTCATGTCTTTATTTGTTTCTTTCTTACAGTATATATGTATAAAGAAATCTAATGTTCAATGTTTTAGTTTTGGAAACATTTTATGGTGTATGATGAACAAAATTTATAACCATTATAAAGACAATCATACATTTTTATATTCCAATTCAAAACCTTTATTCATAAATGGTGGTACATTTATAATTGGCAAAGTTTACATAAAATAGTACAGTACATTAATTACATAAGTCACAATAACAGCTTAACACAGACTGGAACTTTATTGATAATTACGGGCTATTCATGCCCGTGCCACCTCTTGGGTGGCTTAATCTTAATCAATTTATTGATAACTTATACAAGTCATTTCAATGCTTGCTAAACTAAACACCTGTATAACAATCTTAATAAAAATTATAAATATACAAAATCTATTTATTATTATTTTTGTTTTAAATTTAAAGCATGCATAAAGAGTTTCCACATTAATTGAGTTCTTAATGATAAATAACTGGCCATTATTATCATACTGAAATTAAAAGAGCACACTGGCAAAGTTTAGGCTCCCACACAACTGCTCGACCAACTGTCAAGAAAACCTGGCCCATTCCCACACAAGACAGAGACACTATTGCATGTGAAGCAAAGCCCCAGACAGTAGGGAGGAGGAGGAGGAGGCCAACAAGGTGACCAACACTAGGCCAAGTGAACCAACTAGGACTTACTGCACTTCACCAGGAACCTGAACTCGGCAAGCTGGGAAAGAATCAGATTCCTGGCTTGAACACACATGGGCTGGCTGGGGGCCAAAACCAGCGGGTTGTAGAGGCCCCCCCCCCCTCACCCCCTTCCCCTTGTTTAGTGGGGAGAGGCAGGCCGGGTCAGCCAGCCACGCCACCACCAGTTTTTATTTTGACTGTGTACCTGGTTGTCTGTTCTAGTCACTCTGAGGCAGAATCCACTGATTCTGCTTCGGTTGATTATTGTGGGTTGATCCGGTTTCTCTGGTCCCTTGATCCAGGGCTCAGGTGGTCCTCCGTCATGCTGTTTGTTGGGTCGACGAGTCTTGTGAAACTTGTTTTCCGCTCATGCTCTAGTGTACCCATTCTGTTTTAACTGAGGTTCGGGGTCAAGCAGCATGCGTGTTGCATGCCAGGTTTAGATTGATGCAACACGCTAGGTTGGTTGCCCGCTCGAATGCCCCAGGGCTGTCCCGTTTTGGTTTTTGAGACTCCCGACCCTGACCAAGGCTGGTCGCTTCAACCTTGGTTCAGTCTGTGCCCCATCGTCCTCCCCCTTGTTGGTGTGGTTCACCTTCCTCCTCTCCCCCATGTTGCCGGCTCCCAGACGTCTGAGGGTTTTGGAGTCGGGGCAGGTTTAGCTGGGGATGAGACTCAGCCGGCTCCGGGGGTTGTCCCATTCACTGTGGAGACGGAGGCATTCAGGCCTGTTCCTCCTGCTGAGACTTCTGGGTCCTTCCAGCAGGACCCTTTCTTTGTTGCCTTTTCCTTGGACTCTGCCATTTCTTCAACGGTGGAGGGTGTTGAGGACACCTCTGCCCTAGTTCCTGGTTTGGAGGATTCCAGGACGGGGGGGGGGAAAGCGGCCTGGGGCGCATGGACCCCTTTCGATCCCGCCTGGGCTTTGGTGCCTTCGGGGTGGGTTCTGCTATTGCAAGATTCGGGATTTTTGTGTCCCCCTTCCTTGTATGAATTTGATATGGGTTTGACCATGGGTTTCCTTGGGTTCCGTGGCTTCATCTTTCCAGAGGTTTTGTACCTTTTGGATTTTCCCTGCGGAGATTCTGGAGGCCCTCGGTGCCTACCTCCTTCGAGACCCGGATTTTGCCTCTGTGAGGGACCGACCGGGTCTCTATTGCTAGTTCCGGAATCGTCTTCGTCTGGTCGGCATGGTGCTCACTCTGCTCTGAAGTTGGCTTCTCGGAAAGGACACCGGCCCTTCCATGGGTCGCCTCGTTGCCGGGGTGCTTGGGAAGAGACTGGCTCTGTTTTCCCTCACTTGGTCCCAGGATTAGTGGGCGTTTCAGGTCGTATCTTCCGGCCTGAGGTGGTGTTGGGCGGGCCCTTACTCCTTCGGAGGATTCGAAGTTGGTAGGGCAGGCTTCTTCCCTTTCACTTCATCAGGTCATCTTGGAATGGGTGTGCTTGAGTATGGTTGAAACGACCTTGTCCCTCAGGTGGGTTTCCCATTTGTTTCCAGTGCCGAAACGTGACTGTGCAAATCTGTGGTTCATTCTGGACTTATCCCGATTGAACCTCTGGATTCCTTGCCCCTCCTTTCGGATGAGCACTCTGGCCGAGGTCCAGTTTCTCTTGGAGCTGGGTTCGTGGATGGTGTCTGGACCTCCGGGACGCGTATTGGCATCTTCCCATTCATCTGGGGTTCAGGGAATGGTTAGGTTTTGTCATAGGGTGGCAGGCTTACCGCTTTCGTTGCAGATTTGGGCTGTATCTGGCACCTTCCGTTTTCACGCGTCTTACCCAGGTCGTAGTGGCCCGTCTGCATCTGCTACGTGTTCGAGTATTGGCTTACGTCGATGACTGGCTGGTGTGGGCTCCCAGCTGGTCTGCTTGTCTGCTGTGCAGGAGTTTGGTTCTTTTGCAGCTTGCCGGGTTCAGGTTCCTGTTGAACAGGAGGAAGTCCCATCTGATTCTGTCTCAGATTTGGACTTGGCTGAGCCTTGTCTGGGATTCCCAGACAGCATCCTTGTCACTCCCTCAGGCGGCATTGCTCCGGCTGCAGTCCTGTCGTCGGCTGTTTCTGAGTGGGTCCCGGGTCATTCCGGCGGAAGCTCAAGCAACTGTATGAGAGTTTGAACTTCGCCGTGATCATTTACCCGCTGGTACAGGTTTGGCTTCGGTGTCTGTTCTGGTTTCTTCGGGGCCACCCCTTCCGCCGCTCTCGAGATCGCTGGGTTAGTCCTCCTGGGGCCTTGTGTCAGTTGCTGCATCTCCAGCTTCCTCTTTGGGTTTTTCAGGGTTCAGTGCCTTGGCATCTTCTGGAACCCTCGCTCGATGGGTTCATGGATGCCTCGTCTCTCAGCTAGGGCTTTGTGACCAGTGTTCACCAAGCCGGCCAGAGGCAGTGGGCTTCGTCGGGCTTACAGCACAGTGCGGGAGTTTGCGGTGGTGTGTCTTTCCCTGCGATAAATTCGGCTTGCTCGAGGCTCTACGATCCAGCTCCATTCAGACTGTGCCCCGGTGGTTCATTGCCTGAACTGTGGGGGGTATCTTTGGTCCTTGGCTCTTTGGTGCTGGTTGCTTCGAGTGGCTCTTCTGCTAAGTTCTTGGGGCTTAGCTCTCCGTGCGGTTCGCATCAAGGGCTTGTCTAACATCCTGGCGAACGGCCTGCCTCAGTTCATTCCTCTGTCCACGGAATGGACGGTCAACAATGACTCCTTCAGTTGACTTTGCTGGACGTGCGGGTCCTTGGAGGTGGATCTCTCTGTGTCGATGTGGTAGAAGCATCTCCCAATGTATGTGTCGCCCTTTCCCGACTGCAATGCCGTTGCAGTCGACATTTTTCGGCAGGACTGGTCAAGCGGGGGGGGGGGGTACCTGTACCTCTTCATCCCAGTCCTGCTGTTGCTTCGGATTCTGGCTCTGCCAGTCTTATCGGAGGAGGATTCCCCTATTGGCCCCCATGGTGGCAAGCCCAGCCTTAATTTCACGTGCTGCTTGCTCAGTGCCTGAACCCGGGGCATTTTCTGCAGCTCTTATCTCTTTCTGCTGATTGGGCCGGTGGGGTACCTTGCTGGTTCGATCTACTCTTTCCCTCTTTGCGTCTGGTATTTTTGATGCGTATATATCACCACTTGTATGATGATCAGGTGGCTTCTCTCATGGTGTCCCACCTGCAGTCTTCTTTTTGGCGACAGTATGAAGTCTCTTGGCATTGTTTACACCACTTCCTTTCTCTTCACAGGTTGTCTTCTGTTTCTGTTCGTATTGCTTTGTCTTTCCTTTCTTGCCTATTTCAGGACCGAAATCTTATGCCGAATACTGTCACCTGTTAACGTGCAGAGCTGGCAGAGCCGCTCCAGTTTGCGTTCAGCTCCATTCCATAAGCTTTCTCATGCGTTTTTCCACCTCCAGCCTGCTCATGTGCCGCCTGAGCCGTCCTGATCTTTGGATCGGGTGCTCTCTCTTCTCTCTTCTCCACGGTTTGTTGTGGTCCCTTCTATCCATGATTGTTTTCAAGTGGCTTTTTTTTGTTGGGTTTGGGGGAGGGGGCCACACAAACGAGAAGCACATAGGTTTGGTGACGATTTGGTTGTTACCTTGTTTTTCTTGTGGGAAGTTCTTGGGCTGTTTGGCCTTGGGTTGCAATTTTCTACCAGTTGGGGTCTGTTTTGGCTGCCTACCTTTCTGGGTGCCTAACCCCAGTCGATGGCAGACATGAATATACTCTCAAAGAGTGAAGTTTTCATTGGCCATTGCTCCCATCACCTCTCTGAGGGAACCAGGTTCTGGCTCGTGGTTCCCAGTAGGCAGAACTCCATGTGACTGAAGCCCCACACTATACACTATAGCTAATATCAGTCCAATAGCTCCAGGGAGCCGAGGGGGCTCACCCAGAAAATGGCATTTTATTACATTCGATGCTGGGTTTTTGCATTTCTTGATGAATAGGAAATTCCAGGAGTCTGGGGCCAGGTGCAGAGTGCATGGGCATGCTATCTATGGCTACTACAAAGTCCAGTAGGGTTAGGGTAACATCTGATATATGGTTCGATGTTGGTATCACATTCATAAAGAATTTGTTGGATCATTGGTCTTCAATGTGTCCAGGGGCTCACTGAAATCAGAATCGTACTGTAACTATTTCAATAATTTCTTTGTCATGTGAAATTCCATTACCCTTGCCTAGGGGCCCAATGCTAGATGTGGTTTTTGTTCTAGATTTTTGCATAGGAGAAAATGTGTTTTTGGATTCCTCTATATTTTACTTATGGCCTTTTGCTGTCTTTGCCTCTCCTGGATAGAGCGGCTCATTGGAGATGTTCTGCAGTTTTTCTTCACCTGTAGAGGGAACGCCGATCTCATTCAAGTTTTCATGTTTTATTTCTTCTTAATAGTAGGTGACTTGCATATATATTTAGTGCTACTGTGCCTATTTTTCTCAAAACACTGGTTTAAGTTTATATTATTTAGCTGTTCTTCCCAGCATATTTCTGTGAGGACTTGATTTATTCATTCCTAGTTAATCAGTTATTGAAATTAAATTAGCTGAATTCTCCTCCCTGGGTTTGAGACTGGCTGCTCGGGTATTTTGCCTACGCTTATCTGAACTTCAATTAGGTTGTGATCTGAGTCACATGTATTTGTAATCATTATGGCCATAATCAGTTCATCTTTGTAAATATATGGTCTAAGGTGTTTTCTTTCGTAGTTGGCTCTACTATTTGCTGGTTGAAAGCAAATGTGTCACATCTATAAGAGGTCATTTGTGTGTGACTGCTCATTTAGACTACTTCCTGGGATTCTCTCTGCTATAATACTATTGGCCGAAGTTTGACATTTTAGATGTCTTAAGTGTAAGTCACCAAGCAAGATGATGTTAGGGGCAGTGTTTGTGAGGGTTTTTTAAGCAATATTTTGTTTTCATAAGTTGGTCTTTAAACTGTTGAGGATTTGCATCTGGTGAATTATATACAAGGACAATCACCATATTTATAATTTCTGTTTTGATTATCAACACCTCCACCATATAATTTGTGGTGTTTAGCAGCTTATTGTAGATGAGTGTGTATGAGTATGAGTGTCCTTGGTGTACAGGCTGATTCCCACCCTGTACTCTGTGCTTCCTGTCACATCTCAAAACATTGTACCCTGGTATCCATGTTTCTTTTGTCATAATACTGTAGTCCTTAATGTGAGTTTCACTTAAAAGTGCAAATATTGCATTTGCCTCATTTAAGAGGCCAGTTATTAAGGGGACTTTGTTCTGTGTGTTTTGATACCGTGTACGATGGTAAATAGGAAAGATGTTATCGTATTTGTGGAAGTGCTGGGTTACTTACTTACTGTTAATATCTGTGGTTCTGGTAAGGTTACCTCATCAGCCCATCCTCCTAAGGTTTCCTAACATCAAGAAAACAGTCAAAGTGTCCCCTCTTAACGTACCATAGGACACAAAACAGAAAACGGGACAGTACGTCACTTTTGCGAGCCGCTTCCATTTTCTAGTATGATAATTTTTGGCCTTATGTAATGCATATGATCAAAGTGTGACATTCTTTGTAAGAGGACAGGTTGGCCTCATTATCCATGTCCTGTCTAGCATTTGACCAAGTTAATGATAGAGTTTGGACATTTCTTGCCATTCTTTTTCTCTTACTAAAAAATCTCCCCGGTATGGGCAATCTGGTAGCTTGGTGCGGGCCGCATGGCAGCAGGCACGTACTACTTGCGGGGGGAACTGGGTTAACAGCCAGAGGAATCGTTTCAGGGTCTCATTTTCTGTGTTGATGACCAAACAACACACAAGATAAAGAGACGACGACATTTCGATCCGTCCTGGACCATT